AGCAAACACCGGGAAGCCGGCTTAAAACATAAACTTCAGCTTTAAGCTTGAAGACTCAGGATTTTTAGAGACACTTTAATACTTGTCTTCCTAAATGAAAATTGTCGTCTCTGTATATGTTTCACCGAATTATATTTCTTTTATTGATTGTTAGTAGTCTCTCTTGTAATTTTAATCGTTGTGCCGATTGTTTTCAGGCGTTCAGTAAACAACGCTTCCCGGAGTACTCAAAATGCCGCGCGTTAAACCGTTTTAAAATAAAAAGTAAACATACTAAATTCTTTATTATGTTGGAGCGTAACTCCTTTAATGTTCATTCAAACACTCGCCACTGCTAGCACTGTAAAAGTCAGAACTGGCTGGCCGTATAGATGATTTCGGAAATTTTTTCAACGGTTTACGGCTAAAGCTCACGAGTGCTTCGATCGTCCTGAATAGCAATTTGTATCGCAATATTGTGAAATACTGCATTCTGTTGTCCGAGGTCTGTATGATAAAAACAGTGCCTCATATACTGTTTCACCTCAGATGTGATGTATAAATGATATAAAAGGTTGGTTTACACGCACCCAGATTTGTTGGCAAGATTTTTTAAAATAAACTTGTCGAACGCAAAAAATTCGACTATTTTTTTTTTCCAGGCCTAATTAATCTACGGTGATCAAGAGCTATTATGGCTCTTAATAAATGTGATCGAAGACGATTGCCAGTTTTTGGGTGTACTTATGAGACTATCAACTCGATGTGAGATTTGGTTCACTCTTGGGCTGTTTGCAAATTATTTTTTGTAAAATCACTTAGCCTTTCCCTGAAAAGTCACACGAATGTGCTCTAAAGTTAACTGAATTGTGGAACACAAGTTTATTGTTTGATTTAAGTTATAAATTTATTAATGGGAGCCTCGCTTTTAGCCCTGGCTAAATCTATATTAAATACAAACCCCTACTTAGCACAACTTGGTTAGTTTTCTTGAGAAGGATGTAAAGAGGATATGTTTTTACCTTGCCGGTAATATTACTGCAAGGAAGTACGTCTCAATATGAATGGTTTTGATCGGTTTACACTGGTAACATGGTAAGAGTTTTATCTCCAGATTGTTTTTGTCCTCTCCATATTGTTTTGGGCCTGTGCTTTAAGTGTACAGTACACACCATATTTCCTCGAATAGTAGCTGGGACGATTTTCTCTTTTCTTTCTTTTTTTTTTCACACGATTATTTTAAAATATTGCTCACTAGAAGTCGCGCCCTAAATATTTTTGTTTTATTATCCCATTGAGTGAAAAAAAAAAATCACATCAAACATACTGAATGAACATGGGCTTTCAAAGTATTCCAAATTTGGTTACTTGCTTAATTTGTAATGTCAATAATCTAATTCAAACCTTGAAACGGTTAAACCTTGTTTTGTTGCTAAAGTTACCTACAAGTGACACAATAGATTTTCCACTTCAATTAAGACCAAGGCAGCGTTCGGGACGTGTTGTGGGTGTGATTCTCTCACTGTGCCTTTTAATGAAGTGAGTGAAAAGTGTTGTGGTATGTACATTTCCGATACTAGGTGACACCTCCGTCGGGACACTTGGAGAGATGGATCTGGATGGATTACAGAGATATCTAGAGGCAAAACTACAAATCCTGGAATAAATGAGAGCGAAGAGACAACTAAGCCACCTTGTCCAAAGAAAATGCTACGGCCATCGAGCGTTATCGAGACGTTCTTCGCGTTTAGCTTACTTGTTTTCCTCCAGAATCCTTCAAATTAATTTGCTTGACTAGTATTTGCTCAAAATTCGTCGATACAAGCTTTCAGTTCCTTGCAAAAACCGCAACAAATCCTTGCCATGTTTTTGCTTATCAGGAACCAAGAAGAGAGTTACCTTCGAAGGCCCAGAAGTTTATAATAATAATAATAATAATATTAATAATAATAATAATAATAATAATAATAAGAAGAAGAAGAAGAAGAAGAAGAAGAAGAAGAAGAAGAAGAAGAAGAAATGAATTTGTCTAGCGCAAATTCCATCATACAATCTTTAAATACGCTTTAAAAATGCTTCTTGGAGAAGGCGAATTTGACTCGAGGTGACCTCCTTCTAAGAAAAGACAGGATTTCTGGCCAACAATTGTTTCCAAATAATTCTGACGATCTTTTTAACTGTGCCATTTCGAAGTCGCAAGCAACGTTTCAGACCAATGTGCTTCAACGCTGGGCATTTTTCATTTTTATTGACCAGAAATCCTGTCTTTTCCAACAAGGCGAGGCCACCTCAATCCAAATTGGCCGCCTCCGGACTCAATCTCGCCTCGTTCCTGCCCACCAGTCATCATTCAACGACATCTATCCGAATTTATGAATGCCGCACCAGCTGGCAACTCTAGGCCACACAGCTTAACTTGACTTAAATCAAGCAAAAATCTTGTAAAGCAACTCAGCTTTTACCCATAAGCCTTCCAAGGAGACTCTCTCCTTGGTTCCTGAGTAGCAAAGAAATATTGAAGTCCATCAAAAAGACACTCTCAATTTGACCATACACTCTGGCTGCTTTAAGGCTATACATGATAGAGGCAGCTTTAGACTTAAGCAAGCTCTGAGCAAAGCAGAGCACGTGAGTGAGGGGAATCCTTTATTGGGCAATCGGCCAAAAAAGTTTAGAGTGTGGCATGACAAACTTTAAGTAGAGAAATGATCAGTGAATTGACTCTCCAGAGAGACTAACGGACCATATGGCGCTTTTGCAGCACACCCCCTCCTAGAAATTGGCATGGGGACCCCTTCCGTACCCATGGCAAATTAGCTTAGGGACTGAGCTTGACGATGAGAGATATCAGGACAGCTAGCCCCCTATGCAAATTCTCACCGCAGGCACCAGGTTCTTGTGCGAATATTCTGGGCTTTTTGAGGTACCTTTTTTAAAGAAATTCGGCTAGATATATATCATGTGCGTGTGTGTGTTTGTATCAGGGACGCAATAAACTAACTCAGACAGTTGCCACTGAAGTTACATTTATTAAGCTTTATAGTGACATTGGATTTTGAAACATAATGACTTTCTTAGCTGTGAATTCGCGCGGCCCTCAGTGACTAATTGGAGAAGATAATATACCAGGCAAAGCCGACCCAGTCCAGTACTCCAGTAGCTCAGTTGGGGAGCTCGTGAAGAATGGCTGCTTCCCGTTCTGTACCAAGCGAACCAGTTTTTTGACGAGCCAGCTGCAGTTCCAATCAGAGTTCGCCCAATATGTCAACTGAAGCGGGTAGCTGAGTTTACGATACAGCTGTTCGTTCAGGATGTGAACTGAGGCGTGAACTCCGTCGACAATAACGTGATGGTTTTCTGTCATCTGTCAGTGGATGACGTACAGCGCCAAAGTAAGTCATCACATCTAAAGGAAAATTCAAGAAAAAAAGCTTCACCGTTAAAGACTATGAGAACGTGAGTTACCCTTGCTGGAATCTGGTTAAACTCACAGGACACTGATCACAGTCAAATATCAACTTCTCAATTCCTGGGTTTGCTTCACCCACCTGTAACCTTAGTGGGAACCAGCTTTCCATTATTCATAATCCAAATGGTGTCATCTTCTTTCACATCCATAGCCATGATTGGATCTTTAAGAGGCGCATTTTTGGTTCGACTGGCCGTTTTTGTTGCGGAAATGAGATGACGTGCACTGATGCCAATAGACTGGGTCGCGTTGGAATGATCTCTATACACGATGCGAAGAAGTTGGGCGCGAGCGTCTTGCTGCTCATGCTCAATGTAGTAGACTTTGCTGTAAACCCGCTGTCCGGTTTTGCTCGTCTACCGACTCAACCATGTCGCCAAGGCTGATAGAGTAGAGTGGCTTGGACACAACACTACCCGTTTTCATCTTGAGATTCACGAGTGATTCTGCTAAAAAACATCCTCCGCTTCTACCGACCGCACGAACTACTGAGGCCCCTGATGAGACAGATCTGTTGATAGATAGGGTACGAAGTTAGGTTAATTTCATGGCAAGGGACAGCTCCAATTCACGTATGAAAGATACAAGAAGCACGGCGTGTTAAATCGGTGACACTTGACAATAAGAAATCCATTTAATGAATCTATATCAATCTATAAAATTAGTTAATCCAAATCGATTGATATGATTGATATGATCAATCGATAATGAATAATCGCAAAAAATGTTTCGCAGCAGAATAACACATATTATCAATTTTTGCGTGCTTTATCGGACCTCGTGTTACAAAATCACGAACAAAATGTCTGGTTAAAACACGCCGCATCGACAGTGGGAAACTGCCTTGTGATATCCGATGTCGTTGTAAAAGCGCGGATCCACACTGGTTTCCACCGTTTTATACTTATTAATAATAACAATAAAAAACACTTTCCATGTTGAAATCGAGCGATGAAATAAACCACCAATTTAAAGGGCTTTATCCGAGGAACTGGCCAATATCCTATCTGAATGACTCAGAAACCCAGGAAAGGGCAATTAAAATCCAAAGAAATTCAAGGGGGAGCATGCTCCCCGACTCCCCTAGAAGCTTGCGCCTTCGGCGCTCGTTTAGCTGGGAAATCGGTCAGTATTTATCCTAGATCCGGGCCTGAAAAGAGTACCAGAAGGGTTCATTTTCTGCAATGCTTTCAAGTCTTGGGCTCTGATTCCAACCAGGGTCCGTCCAGAATGTACACTGAATCGACTAGCTGAGTTTACGATACAACTGTTCGGGCCATCCACAATCGATGGCTGAATCCATAAAGTTGGCATCAATTAATCGATTTTAATGAAAATCGATGGTCGCTCGAATTATTACAGTAATAAAAGTCATCGCTCGATCTCCCATTTCCAATATACATCGATCAGTTGACATCAATTGACATTGATTGATACCGATTTCATCGATTTTATTGATTAAGCATACCGAGAAAAAAGGGAGATGGAGATTAAAGGCGATGAAAAACATTGAAAGCATAGATAGGAGAAAAATTACAGATAATCCCACCACTTACTGGGTAAACTCAGAATCACTTGTTGCGGCGATATGGCTTTGAGCTGCTAACAACCCCACCTTTGCAACAGTAAAAAGCACAATTGCAGTGAAAAAGCCAATGAGATGTTTTTCTGCACATTCACTGCTTCCCACGGCCGCGCATCCTTTGCGATTCATTTCGGTCAATTTATTTTTATCCGTCTTCTTGCTAATGTCGAAATCTTTCAAGAAAATACCGATAGCTTGGATGAACTTTACCGTTTTTACTCCATTCGGCAAATTGTCTAAATTTTGCAGCATCTGGTACTTGGCGCAGGTCATGATACAGTCCGAGTCTCCCTTGGCCAGCGGTCCGGCTAGAAATTTAACATCCTTGTGTTCGTAGTCTGCGATTTTCTCCTCGTTACATATCCCAACGAACGTCTCATAAAAATTTAGCTCTGTCTTCTCTCCGCTGGGGTCATCTTTTTGAAGCTCTCGACTTCTTGAACAGGATTTTTGGGTTTGTTTGGAAGCTCAAATTTGCTCAATTCTTCATTTTTTATCTCATGAACATCCCCTTGCAGTTGGGATTTGGTACCCTGTAGGACAGAAGAAAAAAAAAACATACCAAACATATACCATGTTAGTTTAAGTTCAGAAATGTACTAAAACAAACCATAAACTTCGTCCTGTGACGGGAAAGGGATCTAAAATAGACATTTCATATACATTTTTCACAAGTAAGCTCAGTGTGGTCAGAGGAAATTTCCTAAAATAATAATAATAATAATAATAATAATAATAATGATAATAATAATAATAATAATAATAATAATAATTATTATTATTATTATTATTATTATTCAGGGAGCCCACTCGCCCTAGCGGTTTCCAGTGGGGCCCTGCAAGTCATAAATGACATAAAAATAAATAAATAAATAAATTAATTAATTAATTAATAATGAAAAAAGCCAAATCATCTACTTTAAAAAATAAAAACTAAGAAAAGAGATAAAATTTCATACTACATAATATATATAGATTTAGCCAGGGCTAAAAGCGAAGCTCCCGTTAATAAATTCATAATTTAAATCAAACAATAAACTTGTAATCCACAGATCAGGGCACATTCATTTGACTTTTGAGGCAAAGGCTAAGTGATTTTAGAGAAAAATAATTTGACCGTCCAAGAGTGAAACAGCTTTTATATCGAGTTATTAAATAGTCTTATTTGTACACCCAAAAATAGCAATCATATTCGATCACAGTAGATTAGGCCTGGAAAACAAATAGACCTACCTATTCGTGTATTGTATTTGCATTGGCTGTTGCATCATAATGTGGCATTCACCAGTCTCTCCAACATTGTGTGGTTCCAGAAACTAACCATACCCCCCCCCCAAGGAAGGGATTGGATTTTTCCAGGGGGGAGGGGGGGGCAATTTGCCTAATTCTCCAGTGGGGAGGGGGGAGGTCACCACAGGGAAATATTTCCAGAGGGTTCTCGTGACGCGTAAGAGAGTATTAAAGAAAAAACACAAAAATTTACCACGACAACTTATTTGCGAAGATATAAAACACGACGAAAGTTAAAGAGCTACTAAACCTATGGATTGATGGACATAACGAACATATTTTGTCAGTCCCATGGTGTGACCTCTCACGCGAAAACGTTCCTTACGGTTTGCCGTTTTCGAACAGATTTGGTATCCGTTTGAACGGCTCGGGGTATCCGTTCAAAAAAAATTGTCATGCGCTCGAACGACTTGGGCTATCTATTCGGGAAAAACTGTCATCTCTTCGAACGGCCTGGGCTATCCGTTTGAAAAAAGTTGTCATCCGTTCGAACGGCTTGGGATATCCGTTTGAAAAAATTGTTATCCGTTCAAACGGCCCGGGCTATCCGTTCGAAAAAGAATTTGTCGACTGTTCGAACTACAGAAGCTATCTGTTCAAAGATAAATTTTAGCCGAGTTTCCATCGCAAAACCATTTCGTCGCTAGCCACTCGTCCAACGATCTGTTATTCTCCAGGTCACGTACGTTACAAATTTTCTTTACAAACGTATCATATATGAATAGTTACGTATCTCTGCTCCTTTGTAGCCATCTTCGCTTTCATATTATCAATCGATTATCGACAGTATCGACATAAGTTTTTGTCAATACTTAAGTTTTTTGTTTTCAACAAGTTTCCCGAAAATGATATTTTTTTATCTTTTACGCTTTTCTAGTTATCAGCCAGCGGAACGAAACTTCATTTTCCTTGCATGTCGAGAACACAAAACACGAAAAATATATTTTTTTAATTGGTTGCATTTCTTCTTCTCTTGACTGTTTCTTCATCACAAAGAAGTTACACAGGTCTTTTCCAGCACATTAAACTTTGCGTGACAATTTATGCAGTGCGATTAATGGAGTTACCATTTACGCTTCAACATGATAGATAAATTGTTATGTTTAGGTTTTATTTCCCTTTATTTATTAAACTGTGTATGGTTTTGTTATGTGTAATCTTTAAAAGCGAGTGATATTTACGCGCGGCTGTTGAGTATTCCTGCATGCGATGTTTATGTTTGACTGGAAACAACCGGTGCAGCGAAAAAAATTGCGAGACAGACTACTAACAATCAATAAAATAAATATAATTCGGTGAAACATGTACGGAGACAATAATTTTCATTCACGAAGAGAAGTATTGAGAGTAAAGTGTCTCTGAAAATCATGAGTCAGGTAAGCATAAGCTTATTTAAGTTTTAACCCGGCTTCCCGGTGTTGGCTCTTTTTCAAGGTGAACTCGAGGCAAGAAAATCGCTCAGAGCTTTCTGTTTACAGCCAAAATCATAACTAAATATTCTTCGGAACCTTTTCTATGAAGTTGCGGTCAAAAAATGTCTAAAAGCTTTTTAACCCTGATACTATTGTAGGTTTGATCATTGCTCGTGTATAAACTTAAGCCGCATAAACCATACGCTCGACTTCAGGAAACCGAAAAAAAAAACGCATCAAACACAATAATAGCTCAGGCTTACCAGTCGAGATGCTGCTTCTGAAGGTCATCAAGTGTTCCAGAATCGCTTGATACTTTTCAACCCTCTTACGCCTCAAGCAAGGGCAAGTGAGTAAGTTCATTTTTGAAAACGATGCCATCCGAAATCGGATTTCCAATGACTTTGACAAGCGGTGCATTTGTCAACAAAAAGCGCAATTAACAAACCAGCCATGAATTACAGAACAATCTTGATAGCAGCTGTATTTCATTCTGTACACCAGGTAGAAAAAGATAGTTTAAAACATCACAAGATGACACAAAACTCTGTCAGCTCCAGCTATCAGTAAGCAAGTTTCCACACGCTGCATAAACTTTCCGCATGAACTCACCTGTCAAATTCTGACCAATCAGAACATAAAAATTGGACGTAGAGCGTGATCAACGCGTGACAGTAAGAAGAGTAAAAAGTGATTGCCTTCCCTGCATGTAAATGTGAAAGCCGGTTGAATTTTCGCGTCCGAGGTCAGTTCGAAATCAACATTTTAAAAGTGCGGCTTATGAACACGACTTATTTCATATGTATTTAAAAAAAAATTGAACTTGAGCCTGCGATAGTTGAAAAGTAGCAACTTGTCAGCGGATACCCTCAAAAAACACTCGAACTCAGTGGGTCGATACCTTATCCCGCGATAGGGTCAGGCGATACTAGTCAGCAGAAACACTATTTTGACAGCTGTCAATTAATCAAAACATGGATGTACAATATCAGGTTGCAGGCTCCCAAACTAGTACGCTACGTCATAACCAAATTTTCTCGGATGGATAGTTTACCAAATTTTCATACCCATGGTGCTCCACTTCGCGCGCGCGAGGAGCTCCGCTATAAAACTAACTTTAAAATAGTTTAGCAGTTGGATAGTGCATTATTTACAAAGTTTTAAGCTTTGCTTAAAAGAAGGACAATGATTTGCTGTTTTTAATTTCATTGTGTAGGTTGTGCCAGTCCTTAGAGGCTTGAAAAATGAATGTTTACTTGCATCAATTGGTGCGCGGTATCTCTCGTCACTTTTTATCAGGCAAAGTCCCATCTGGAATTCATTCAGCACTTTTCTTTTCTTGTAGAAAATGCACAGAAGATAACGTGCTCTATAATTCTTCAGCACATTGATAACGTGCCCAAAAAAGTCATAAAAACTTTCCATGTACGTAGCTCTACATGATATGTAGAGCGATGGAGGTAAATTTCGCATTTAGAAGGAAAATGAAAATAACTTCTATCCGAAATTCTGCCTCCTGCTAGTTGAATGAAGTGGAAAAGAGAAAAAAAAGAGAGGAAAAGAAAATAGGAAAACACCCGTGAAGAAAAAAGGCGCGAAACTATTACTGGACGTTTCAGTGCTTCTGACGAAGGTGAAAGCTGACATTTAAGCTGGCCAGTTCAGTGTCATACCGCTCAACACGGAATGAAGAAATAAGCGCGGAAAATGTGTATGGTAATTACCTCTGAAATGTGATATAGACTTGACAATGCCTCAGAAAAGTTTCCGATGTTTATTTTCGCAGATTGATTTTAAACGATCTCTTCTTTGGGGCGGTAAAAAGAAAAAAACAACCAGCAAGTTTGAAAGAAACTGCGATCAACTCACCCAGTACTTCGATCTTTGAAAATTTGGCGCTGATGAGGGTACCAAAAAGCTACATCACCTACAGATGACCTTCATCTCTAGCTGCGAAGTTTGTCTGACTTTTCGCTGCTTTGTTGCGGACGACAAGAAGAGCCCTCAGCCTAACCTAGGCTTCGTCAGTGGCACTTTATCAACTGTATAGTGAGATTTTTCTCGATCTATGCACATTCTTGACGCTCCCGTGTTCTTCCGACTAATATGCATGATATGTGGCCGCGAAGGCCCTGGTGTTGAGTTTAACGTCCGAGTGATGTCAGGGTAATCACGTGAACACACGTGCAAGTGACGCAACAATCAGTATTACATTCGATTCGCAAGCACCACAGGGTCCAGAGGAGTTTCGTGTGAATAAATGAATTAGTCTCACCTTAAAAAATGTCTATACCTGTCGCTTAGCAGGATTAATTAGCCCAATGGGATCTTTATACATCTACCGTAAACGATTTCTTCGCTTCTTATGTGACCCAGATCGACTTTGTTGTTCGCCATTGTGAAAATCAATAACTGCAAGCCATATCCTCGTGGCGCACGGCCGAAGGGCGACCGAGGCACGAAGTGCCGAGCAAAAAAAAGGACAAGGGAGGAAACTTGTACCACGTGACTTAGTTTGCTGTGAACTGCATCACTCGGTGACGGAAGTGAATGAGACCGGAAACGCAAAAG